TATTATTATTATTATTATTATTATTATTATTATTATTATTATTATTATTATTATTATTAATACTACTATAATTAACATCAATGTAATGAATATTATTGTAAACATTTTGATTATTATATACTAAAAATATTTGTACCCAGACAACACACTGTTCAACTGAAATTGGAATGCTATAAAAATAAAAACTTGAAATGAAAAAAGAAGGATTTGACTTTCACATAACCTAGAACAGGGATGTCAAACTCGATTTCATTGAGGGCCACATCAGGGTTGTATTTGACCTCAGGTGGGCCCGGATGGGCATGGCCAGCATGGCATCACTCATGTTGGGGGCGCCTGTGGTGGCCAAGTGCTCAGCCAGCAAAAATGGGCTCCCGAGCACCATTTTTGGCTGCAACAGCCTCCTGCAACCCACTGTCAGCGAAAATGGAGCTCCGTTTTCACTGGCAGAGGCACTGTGGGCTGGTCCTTCACTGTTTTCAGGGTGTCCCCGTGGGCCAGATCTAAGCATCCCGTGGGCCAGATCCAGCCCCCAGGCCTTGAATTTGACACCCCTGACCTATTAAAAGTTACATAGTCTAGAATAAGTTACAAGTGGTGAAGAGAGCCCTAATGTTAACTTTGTCAATGCTGATCATTTCCATGAAAAATGAAATTCATCCTCCACGATGACGAGAGTAGGCCCTTTGGAAAAAAAAATGATAGTCAACGATTAAGCATAAGCAGCCAAATTCTAGCCTCTGCTTCCATCAAAGCAGCTTCCAAATGCAGCTGAAACCTGATATGTTCTTGAAAATTCATCCTGAACAAACCCTAATAATTAAAATGAAGAAAGAGACAAATCGAACCCATTGAGAAGTTGCATTAAGTAGTCAGGAAGCTTTCAGTCCAAAATATGTATTTAGCTACACATAGCTTCTTAAAAGCAAAACTCCCGCATTACTTGGTAGTTTCCCAGCAAACTTCTGATATTTCTACTTAATCTGAATTTTACATACCCCTTTAATATCTTCCTCTGGGATGCTATGTAATCGTGCATAGTAATACATGTGTTCTTCAACAGTCAGCAAATCATCAAGAGCATCTTCTTGAGGACAGTATCCAAATTGTGAACGGTGTGCATCATCAATTTCATTTAAGGATCTGAGTTGCAAAAATTCTTTTTGTTAAGTCTGGAATGATTCTTAAAAGTGCTTAAAAGTTAACATAGCAAGAAGCCATGTGAAATACTTGAACAAACATGTGCAGTAGAAAGAGAAAACGTCCCTGACATTGCTGTCTCATTGTATCTGTCTTCTATACATCTGAGATTGCATTTGGATAAAGCCACATTTATGGATAATCTCCTATTTACTGTATAAAGCATGAATTTATGTTGGCTTCAATCAACGTATTGCATGAGTTTTGATCATTTTGATCATTTTAATCACAGTCTGTAAAATGCCAGTCTTCTTACTGGGTTTTATTGGGGGGTGGTCTAAGGCCACATTTTGATGTCTGTTTAGCATTTCCATTTTAAGGCCTCATTCTCAAGAGTGGCATAAGAACACCAGGGAAGTCACTTGCGGCTAAGCATTTCTCACATAATTATTCAGCTGAGGTGGGAGACAGGCAACTGTGATTTGTAGTTCTTGTGAATTTATTAAATTTATTAAAAACAATATTGTTGAATGAATTACTTAGAAATGCTATAATTTAACAAAACTTTGATTTAAGCTTCACATGGCCTCAATCACTTATACTATGGCTAAAAATGCATTACAGAAATGAGTGTCACTAAAGTAATAGAAAATTCTATTTGGATTTCTTTTTAACATAAATTATTTTGTTCCATTTTGGATTTATTTTCTCAGCTAAGTTGCTCCACTTTTTTGTGGGGAATGAATCCATCCTCCATACCCAGTTTCATCTTGCATCAGTAGCCTTCCATCAGTTGGACCAATGTCGCCTGTCAACATTTTAAAAATGGTGGTTTTCCCAGCCCCATTCACACCAAGCAAGCCAAAGCACTGGAGGAAGAAAGATCACATGATTTGTAATCTATTTGTAGTTTCCTTGACTTAAAATAGATTCAAAAAACAAATATTCTTTCATATTATCCATAATGTTTGCAATTTTAATAAAAGAAGATGTTTAAAACAAACAAAATAGAAAGCCCAGGAGATATCGAAAACAGCATGTTTATATGCATTCATAACTTAAATAGTTAGCAAAATATCAGTTTCAAAGGGGGGGGGGGGCAGCAGAAACATTCAGATGAATGTTTCATCTTTTTTGCAATCCTCCCATCTAATCTCTGAAATGATTGTGTTCTATGCTGGATCAGCCTCCCTGATACAGAGTAAGATATATGCCTAGCAGATTTTGATTCACATGAAACATGTGCAAAGTATTATTTAAATGGTTACATTTATATATTTTTGCTACTGCTAACATAAGGAGGGCAAAAGGAGAAATGAGCAGGCGGTATATGCCTGATATGTCCAGATTAATGCCTGAAGATGCCTCTTAAACTGTGCACAATTTTTTGTAAGTAACTACAGACATACTAAGAGAGTTTACCTCTGATAATTTCCACTTTCTACTTTTGGTTTAACAACTTACCTCTCCTGCTGGGATTCCAATGTTGACATTTCTTACTGCTACAACCCTTCTGTAGGGAAGATGGTAGATTTTGGAAAGATTCTGGAGCTGCAACACATCACAATCTGACAAGCCCAGTGTCACTCGCTCTCTTTCTGCTCGGACATCTTTGTCTTCCTCCCCAACAATGTCTTCAAGGTAGAGTGGAGACTTACCATGCAATTTATTAAATAAGAATCTGTCAAAAATTAAAATCAATCATATTAGTATTATCTTATTTTTAAATGTTGTTTTATGAAATATTTTTGTGGATACAATGAGTTTTTTGCAGAAGCTTTTTAAAAATTCAATTATTCAGTACCAATCAATATACAGAATGGAATGGAATGGAATGAAAATACAAATACAAATAACAGACTAGACTAGAATATTTTTATTGGCCAAGGGTGAGTGGACACACAAGCAATTCGTCTCTGGTGTTTCATAAGCTCTCAGTATACATAGAAGCAACAAAGCTACAAAGCACAAATCATAAGATACAATCATAAATATAAGATACAACAAACAAAGTGATAGTCGTATCAATAGGAGTAGATAATAGGAAAGATGAGAAGGATAATAGTAATACAGTCCTACTACATGCTTAGTTATCCTTAGGCAGTGCTATGGGAATTATGTGTTTAGCAGAGTGATGACATGGAGGGAACAACTGTCTTTGTGTCTAGTTCTTTTGGCATGCAATGCCCTTTAGTGGTGTCCTGAAGGGAAAAGTTGAAACAGTTGAAACAGGATGTAAGTTGAAACAGTTGAAACAGGATGTAAGGAGTCTGTAGATATTTTCTCAGCCCTCTTTCTGGCTTGTGCAGTATAAGGATCTTCAATGGAAGGCAGGCTGGTTGCAGTTGTTTTTTCTGCAGTCCTAACTATCTGTTGAAGTCTGTACCTGTCTTGTTTAGTTGCTGTACCAAACCAGACAGTTATAGAAAGTACAAAATACAGACTCAATAATTCCTGTGTAGAATTGTGTCAGCAGCTCCTTGAGCAATCTGAGCTTTCTGAGTTGGCACAGAAAGAACATTCTTTGTTGTGCCTTTTTAATGACGGTTCTAATGTCAGGTGTCCATTTCAAGTCCTGGGAGATTATAGAACCCAGAAACTTGAAGGTCTCTAGTGTTGATACTGTGTTGTCTAATATTGGAAGAGGTGGTAGAATAGGAGAGCTCCTTCTAAAATCTACTATCATTTCTACAGTTTTAAGTGTGTTCAGTTACAAATTGTTCTGGCTGCACCCCAGGGCCAGTTGTTCAACCTCCTGTCTTTATGCAGATTCATCATCATCTTGAATTAGACCAATGATTGTTGTATCATCTACCAATTTCAGTACTTTAACAGACGGATCCTTTGAGATGCAGTCGTGGGTATAGAGACAAAAGAGTAATGGAGAGACCACACAGCCCTGGGGGACAGCTATGCTAATTGAACAGGTATTCAATGTGATTTACCTAGCTTCACCTGCTGCTTCCTATCTGTTAGAAAGTTTATAATCCATAAATGTTATGGATTTTATTATTACGTATTTCAGGAAGTTTCTCAAGTCTGAAGCAGTTTGGTGTAGCAGTTAAAGCAGGGGTATCAAACTTGCACTGTCACAGTGTTGTCATGTGACATATTGCAGCTTCCCCCCCCCCCTTTCACTAAACCAGCACATAACACATCCAGCCTGCCAGCTGCGAGTTTTTAAAAGCCCTGAGTTAAAGTATCAGGCTAGAAACCAGGACCCCATGAGTTCTAGTCCTACCCTAGGCATGAGGTTAATTGGGTGGCCCTGCATTACTTTCTCTCAGCCCTAGGAAGGGAACAAGGGCAAACCACATCTGAAAAAAATCTTCCCAAGAAAACTGCAGAGATTTCTCCTAGCAGTCTCAAAGAATTGGACACATGTAAATGGAAGACAAAAAGACTATTGCAATTATAGACATAGTTCAATCAAAATAATTCCGTTGATTTAAGTGGGAAACCCATGCTTCTCTTTTGAAAATTATGAGAGCCAGTTTGATCTGGTGCGGGAGACCCTGAATTGAAGTCAAAAGAGTCATCAAACTATATGTTCCAACAACAACTCCAAAAACAAAACAAAAAAGCAGATTACCCATATCAATAAGGAAACTTCAATCCAAAAAGAGATCACTATGGCGGAAAAACAAATCTGGTCACGTTGCTAATTTCAAAAACCGATACAAAAATTTATGCCACCAGATAAAGACCGAATGCACCAATTATCACATTAAACAAGAGGAAAACCTTCTAAGCACCAATTCCACCTGTGCTTTTTACAATTTTGTAAACAACAAACTAAAAGACTCAAGGTCCATCCCTCCCTTGATAGGACCCGATGGTAAAGACTGCAGCGACGACACCATTAAAGCCAACATCTTTAACACATTCTTCGGCTCAGTGTTTGTAAACAGTAATGGATCATGCCCAATGTTTCCTAGCCGTACCACAGATAACAACAATGATCTAATACATATCGATTTTACAGTAGACAACGTCGAAAAAGCACTACGCAACCTAAAACCATCTCTATCTATTGGACCGGATGGAATATGTGCCTACTTCTTAAGAAAGCTATCCACTGCCATAGCCAAACCTCTAAGCATAATCTTTGAAAAATCTTTCAGGACCAGCTCCTTACCTAACCTATGGTTACAAGCCACAGTCATCCCCATCTTCAAAAAGGGAGACCCAAGCCTAGTTGAAAATTACAGACCAATCTCCTTATGCTGCGTCACCTGTAAAGTCATGGAATCAATTATTAACCAATCCATCATCCTCCATTTAGAGACAAACAACCTACTCTCCAATAAACAATTTGGTTTCAGAAAAAAACTATCCTGTAATCTGCAACTCTTACACTGCAAAAACATATGGACTACACAACTCAACCAGGGCAAAGCAATAGACGCAATCTACATAGACTTCTGTAAAGCCTTTGATTCAGTGGTACACGACAAACTACTCCTAAAAATAAAATCTTATGGTATCTCTGGACAACTAAATAACTGGATAGAAGCATTCCTGTCAAACAGACAACAAATGGTCAAAATCGGGAACGCCCTATCAAATCCAGTACCTGTCAATAGTGGTGTTCCCCAAGGCAGTGTTCTAGGACCAACTCTCTTCATAATCTACATAAACGACCTTTGTGATCATATCAAGAGCAATTGCGTTCTCTTCGCTGATGATGTAAAGCTGTTCAATACCACAGACAATACTACTACCCTTCAAAAAGACCTAGACTATGTATCTGAATGGTCTAACATATGGCAACTTCAAATCTCAACAAATAAATGCTCTGTCTTACATATTGGTAAAAAAAATCAGAAAATAAAATACAAACTGAATAGTCAAGATCTTGTTGACGACCCAAGCTCTGTAAAGGACCTGGGAATACTCACCTCTAACGATCTAAGTGCTAGAGCCCACTGCAACTACATAGCCAAAAAGGCATTAAGAGTTGTTAACCTAATCCTACGTTGCTTTTTCTCTGGTAATATCTCACTACTAACCAGAGCATACAAAACATTTGCTAGACCAATACTGGAATACAGTTCATCAGTCTGGAATCCTTATTACGTATGTGATATTAGCACAATTGAGAAAGTCCAGAAATATTTCACAAGAAGAGTTCTCCACTCTTCTACTCGTTGTAGAATACCTTATGCCACCAGACTCGAAATTCTAAAACTAGAAAACCTTGAATTACGCCGTCTTCGGTCCGACTTAAGCATGGTATATAAAATCATACATTGCAATGTCCTACCTGTCAATGAATACTTCAGCTTTAACCATAACAACACAAGAGCACACAACAGATACAAACTCAAAGTAAACCGCACCAAACTTGATTGCAGGAAATACGACTTCAGCAATAGAGTGGTCAATGTCTGGAATACTCTACCCGACTCTGTAGTCTCTTCCCCAAACCCCAAAAACTTTAACCTTAGACTGTCTACTATTGACCTCACCCCTTTCCTAAGAGGTCTGTAGGGGGCGTGCATAAGTGCACCATCGTGCCTACCGTCCCTGTCCTATTGTTTCTCTTATTCTTTTATTTTTCTTATATGTACCCATTTCATATATTAACAACTATGTATACACTTGTACTTATTATCTTGTAAACAATTGACAAATCAAATAAATAAAATAAATAAATAAAGTTCTGCCTTAACCATGAAAGCCAGCAGGGTGATTTTAGGCCAGTCACTTTATTGCAGCCCTACCCACTTCTCAGGATTGTTGCTGTGATGAAAATAAGGAGTAGGAAGGCATGTTGAATATATTCACCCCTTTGAGTTATTTGTAAAAAATAATAAAGGTGAGGTACAAGCAAAGAAACAAACATATTGCTGCGTTTTGTTTAACTTCAGCTAAGGTGTGATCTAAACTCATATAGCCTACAGCCTTGGAATTCCCCTGTAATTTCCCATCCTAATAATCTGACCGTTTATAGTATCTGGGTTCAAGTGAGAGAAATCAGATGCTTCCATCTATTGCTGAAACTTGGTAAGGCCTATGCTTAGACTGAATATTATGAGGATTATTCTAATCTGCACTCAGATGAGATTAAATTAAAACACAACAACTATTTGTTTAAACTGCTTTGTGGATCAAGAGCTGTGATGAATTTCTCTCTTATTTCTGGCATTTTAGCACTGTAATAAAGCAACTCCTTAATCACATATATTTGATGCAGAAAGGAGAGATTGTAGCCCCTTCATTGCAAAATGGGCCAACATAAACTTGACAGTTCCTGTTACTACATAATCTTAATTTAATAAAAAGCCTAACCAGTTTAATTTAACAAAGCTTTTTATAAAGTCCTGTTAAAACAATAAATTACAGCAAGTTTATATTCTGCAACTTACTTTTTGTCAATTCCTTGTTTTATTTGCAATTTTAGAATTTCCACATACATATATGGTTACTTACTGTAATATTTTATGCCACATTTTCTGAATTGTTCCATCATCAAGCAAGAGGCGGACTGTAAAAAACAGAGTTCCTTGAATGAACATCGCAAGCAGTTTGGATGTTGTCCTGTCCAATTCAAATGTTTTATCAGGGTAAATTACTCCATAGGCTTTCAAAAAACCCATCAGGGCATGATACTGAGATAATTCGATTAACCCATAACCAAAACAGAATTGTGGGAATATCAGGAAAATATGTCTCAATGTTTCAGCAAGATCATGCAGGGCCTGAAAGAAATAAAAAATCTTTGGTCATTGTACTTTTGTAGTTACAAAATTACCTTATCATTAAAAAAAAAAAAACCTTCATAACAGATTGTGTTATAGCATATTGCTGACTCATATTTATCCTTTTCATGTAAATCATTAGCAAGTCACATATAGGGTATACCTGGTCATCTCTGTCAGTTCCATTTAGTCTGATGTTTCTTAAAGATTGAAACAAAACACATTACTTAAGAAGGAATCTGACCAAGATAGAACTGTTGGTTCCTTGGATTTTTAAACTTTATTTTTCTTGATATATATTTATTTAATTTAATATTGCTGCCTATTCACCCATGGCGACGTGAGGTGGCTTACACAATGTAAAACCATATTTAAAACAAAAAATAAAAATAAAAAGTAAGAAACAATAAAAACTAACAAAAAGAATCAAATAAATTAATAAAGTACAATAGAACAAAATCTGGGGGGGGGGGAGAGAAATCACCCCCCAACTTCCACCACCCCGCCCCGACGACAGCAGATCACACTACCCATTTGATGGGCTCCATTCCACTCTGGGTTCACCAGGCCCACTGGCAAAACCAGGTGTTCACATAGTCATATGTGAAGCTATATTTATTTAAAACCGTTTTCATGCAAATCATTATCAAGCTAAATAAGGAGTAACTTTTATTTCTGTCCTCTGGGATATTAATATTGGTATTCTACCCTATTTTATATAATCTGGAACATTAATGAAAAATCTGATTACATGTTGGTGACATGTTTTCAAGCTTATTACCTTATCAGTAGCTTTTTCTTGGGAAAGTAAAAAAATAACTGAATGGGAGATGATTGTGTTGACACCAAAGAATAAATTGATGCAGACATAAACAATAAAGGCCATCCCAGTTTCCTTGAAGATTCCAGCCAGCAAGTACATCCATGAAAATGTTGAATATCTGCAGATCATTAAAAACCACAGGCAGAATAAAGCAAGCAATCCAGATAGCAAAGTATTTAATTGTCTTCTAGTCCAATTTGACTGTGAACTATTTTATTTTGGAGCTAATTTAATTGCCAAGGATCTACATTAATTCTGACAACCATATTATATTATTTTATTCATTTATTTGTACCTTCCTACTCCTTCCTACTCAGATACATATGCAAGGCAATGTATACTTATTATTCAAGACAAAAACTAAACATTTGCTACTCTCTCTATAATTTTCTTTGAACTTGTGACTTCTTTGGTGTTCCTATACCTTTTCTTGATCACAATATTAACAAGGATTGTCAGCATATTTTCTTCAACATCCAAGTTTAGCTTTCAGCTGTTATATTTCTCAGTGATCTCCCATCCAGTAATATACATTCTGAACCAATCAGAATAGTGCTGGAAGGGACCTTGGAGGTCTTCTAGTCTAACCCCCTGTTCAAGCAAGAGACACTATACAAGGGGTGTCAAACTCAATTTCAATTTCATCAGGGCTATGGTTGACCTCAGAGGGCCAGAAGAGCATGGCTGAATGTGTGGGTGTGGCCAATTGGGTAGGTGTGGCCAGCTTGATGCCACTCACTGGGCATGGCGGACTGGGTGGCCGTGGCCAGATTGATGCCACTCCCCAAACTGCTGGCATATTTTCTTTTTGCAATGGGTAGACCAGGCCAAAGCCACATTGACCCGATGTTTCCTCTTTGCATTGGGTAGACCGGGCCGAAGCAATGTGGGCTGGCCTCTTACATTTTCCAGGATGGCTCCATGGGCCAGATCCGATCACATTGTGTTTGAAACCCCTGCACTATATCATTTCAGATAGCTGGCTGTCCAGTCTTTTCTTTTGTCTAGTAAGTCCATAGTTTGTAATTTTTTTATTCTTTGTTTGTTTTGCATCCATTTTATTATGAAACTTTTTATTTGTTCCATCTCCATGTTCTATCTGAACAACAGTGTATACAGTTGCCTTAGTATGCCATCTTGATTCTGTACAAGCATTTCAAATCCTGACATTTTTCTCAGAGGCCCTCCATTATTTCTGAGATCAGTTTTATTCTTCCAGCAATGCCTAGGTACATCAACCATGGTATGTTCTGGCCTTTTGAAGTAGTTGTTGCTGTGTCTTTAACCTATTTATGGGGTGTAAATGGATCATATCTGCATATGTCCGTGATGGCGAACCTATGGCACATGTGCCAGAAGTAGCATGCAGAGCCATTTCTGCTAGCATGCAAGCCGTCGCCCGGAACAGACCCACTTCACATGCGCACGAGTCCCCCCCCACCAGCCAGCTGATTGTTGGGTATCTGCTGTGCATGTGCAGGGGGAGATGCATGCGCAGGGGAGGCAGGAGCAGGTGGGGGGGGGGGGGGGCTCCCGGGGGGGGGGTCACACACACATGCGCAGAGGCACACAGCATGGGGAGGTCGTGTGCGCATGTGCAGAGGTGCACAGTGTGCTCACAGGGGGTCACGCACACATGCGCAGAGGGCCAGGGGGGTCATGCAAACATTGCATTATGGGTGCAGGCACATGTGCGTGCGCAACACTTTCGGCACGCGACAAGGAAAAAGTTAGCCATCAATGGCATATGTAATCATACTTTTCCTATATAGTTATTTCTGACATGAGAAGCATTTAAAGAAGAGCGAGTGGTGAGCTTGTTGAATTTATTTTTCTCATAGTCTTCCATATTTTATCCATTTTTTTTCTTGCAACACAGCCTTTCCATTTTTGGTGCTCTTTCATAATCCTATATCATTAAGTATCTTTGAAGCCCATTAGATAGATTGGCTTTTTTTAATGTACCTACCTTATTTCTAGAGTTGGTTGGTTTATTTTTATTTACCCTCTTTTATGCTTTGTTTATGACTAATTACTTTAAAAAACTGAATTTTTAAAATTACTTTTAAAAATAAGTAATTCAAATAGCTCTGTTCAAAACTAGAATTGGAGATTCAATTCAAATTGAATCAAACTATACAAATCCTTACCCAAATAAAAGAAGAAGCAGGAATACAGCCAACAGGTTATTGTCATTGAAGAAAGCTGGTATCTGAAAAGCTGAAATAACGCCCACTGAGAGTATAACAGGCACCAGAAAATAAACCTGTAGAATGTTCATAAATACAACTGATTATCACAGACCAAATGCTAAGCCTGTTTATTATAGTATCATATATATAAAACATATGGACCAAATGTGGCTTTAAATGCATGAGAAAAAAACTTCCCTTCATAGGATATAAATACAGAAACATCATTTTTTTACTTTAAGAATAATTACCACTCCCTGTTATTTGCTCAGTCATTATCATGCAATTGAATTACTACTTCATTGGATTGATTTGGATTGAAACAAGTGGATTTTCTTCTAACTATGGAAAAGTTAGTAACAAAGGAAGCAAGCATTATTTACAGAGGTCCTAGAAAGTAATGGCTATAGAAAGCTTTAATCTGGAGACAAACAATATTTCTAACATAGCTCAAAGTGATTTGAAAGAAGTAATGTATTTCAGAAAGATGAAGGCTATTTGGGTCTTCTAGTTGAATTTATTTTGAAATAGTATAAAAATCTGCCAACCAGAAAGAAAAATGTATTAACATAAACCATGGTCCCTTCTCAAGTGTTTTTTTTATTATTCATACATTATTGATGTGTCAGCATTTCCATAATAATTATTTTGTTATTAATTATTTTTACATGTCCAGTCTAGGAAAAAGTACAATAATATAAAATACATTTTAAATTGTAGAGCTGGATATCATTTTATAAAGTCAGTTAGGTGTGAAATGGTAGCAATAATGGGAAGAGAGAAAAGGTGTGTGAGAAGATTATTATAAACAATTAAGTTTACATTTAAAAATGATGGCACTGTAGTACTTACAGAAAGGCTAAATTTTCTGTGTGATGTGTTTTACGACCTTTCCCCCCCCAATTCTAGGAATCTGATTTCCTGAAATAAACTGCCTCTTAGGTGTGCCTAGGTTAGTAGCTTTAAATTTTAATTAGGTTAGGAAAACCTAATATTTGGGACACATTAACCCTTGAGATTCATGCACATTATTTTCCTTTATTTTGGGCATATACAAATTATGAAGGGCAGCATGCATATTGGTATTGTCAACCTGCAAAACAACTTCAGCTGAGGCCATACTCATTTCTGCTTTTTTTCTTGGTTTCCAGGTGGGGAGACCATTGGGAGGGGAGAATTCAGGAATGTGGTGCCTCAGCCAGATAGCCATAACATCTACCAGTAAGCGTTTAAACCAAGATCATTCAACGGACACCTGTTGAAGTTGAACAGGAACCTACATCTGGACTGATTGGCCCATGTGACATGAGAGACAAAAGGGGGATGGGGAGGTCTCATTCTTTTAACTATCCCTAAGCATGTGAATAATTTAGAGCTAGCTTCACTTTTCTAAGTGCCAATATGATGTACTCAATAAAGGATCTCTTGAATCTGAATGAAGTGTCAGAATCGTGACTTCTCTGAGTTCATTACTCACAATGATGACAGGTATTATTACATATAGTTCCTATTCTAGTTCCTAATTAGCAGGATTCACAAGATGTTCCTAGTTCCCCTCCTAGTAAGAGGATTTTTTAGTAGCAAGAATTCAGTGAAAGGTATCAAGTAACAGCATATCACTAACATTAGTTTCAGTCTCTTAAATGCTGGCTTCGGTTAGCTCATATGGGATGCTATCCAACAGAAAATGCATAAATCTGCCATTTCAAACCAAGGGGCCAAAACATGAAAGAGGCGTACCTACTTATTATAATGAGTTTAAATTCAGAAAAATGTGCTTGGCTCTAAGTATCTCTATGCAACTTATCTGAACTATACAGGCCTCTTAGGAATGTTTTATGACAATTCCCATGAGAAAATATTCAATTTTTATTCAATAATTTGGAAGTAGGTGGTCATGTTTTTAAACCACAAAATGGCCGAGTTCACATGTTCTTAGCCATAGTTTGTAGTGCTGTGTCAAAAGCCATATTTCTCATGCATGATTCCAAACTACCTATGTTATTATGATATATGAAATAGACAGAAAGCATACAATATATTGTGAAAAGTTTTTTATCCAAATATATTTTATTATTTATATTGTCTCCATCTTCCCTTAAAATATTAACAGAATCCACAATAGTCTGAGAATCAGTGTCTCCACTTGATAATTGATAGTCAAGATGAAACTAAGTTAATCAACTAAAATTAGCAAACTTCCTCCTAGACCCAATCTGCTTATCAAAGGATGTCTGCAAACACAGAGTTAATTAAATTAGGTCTCCCAGAGCAATTGCATGTTCACAAGAATAAATACACTACACACACACACACACACACCTCAAGTGTCATCCTAGAATCAGCATGTGACACACCATACAAGTTCCCCTTATAAAAATCTGTATCCTACTTCTCTGCAGCTTGACCTTAAAGGCAAACTGTTTTGCTTTAAGTATTATTTTTTTCCTCACAGCTGTCTGGATCTCATTTTTATTTATTCTTGTGCAACCCCACCTCAAATTGGAATTCCAAATTATTCTTCTGACAATATATAAATGCTACCCTGAGATCTTAGGACTATGCTTTGCCTAGTGCCAACTTTGCATATTTCAGTACTTGCTTCTTGATAAGATTCATGTTAAAAGATATTTTATTTTTCATCAGAATCACTGAGTACTGCTGTATTCAAAATTGGAGGATAAACTATACATAAACATGAAATATGCTCCAAAGATTTTATTGTTTTTAAACTAATATAAAAAAAGGCCTATAAGGTGATCTGAAAACAAGCAGTGATTTTTTTTCTCCATGACTAAGTTCATAACAAAAGCTTCCTACCAGTGATTTTTCCATCTCTTGTAAAAAAGAGAAAAGTTATTTTCCTCTGAAGAAAGGAAAACCATTTTTATAGGATGGGTAAGACGAATTTTGGTTTGGAGGATAAAGAAGATTAGCCAGCTTCTAATATCACATCAAATTACACTATTTTTAACAATAGTAATTAAGACATCAAAGTTAAATGTTCATATAATAATAGGTAACTCAGAGTTCCAAATAAAATATCTTATAATTAGGGGATGCCAATTAACTCTCCCTTTTTGCCATATTTTTCATAATTTAACCTGAGAACAACTTTATTAATTTCTAGTTAAATATAAATGAACTTCTGATCTTAGTAGTAGATTGGGCTATTATAAAGTTCTGAGTTTTATACATATAGTGTGGCAGCAACAACAAAAAGAGGATGGGGTCCATGTATTATTAAGCATGGTGCAACAGCTTAATTCTATGTTTTAAGATTTTAAAAACTGAATACAGCATGGAGTTTTATGAGTAAGTGAATCCTGCATTTTTAATAGGTTTTCTTTTTTGCTTCATTTCATCATGTGGTATTTTCCATATTATATTTAAGAGATAAGCTACTCACCATGTCATAAATGAAGTTAGTCACCCAGTAGCTGGTCACACCGAGGCCAGAGATATGTTGTAGCTGTTTTGCCTTTGTTTGATGTTCCTTGACCACGTAAAGCACAAAACTAGCTGTTGTGATGGAGTATCCAATCAAGACTGACATGGACACGATGATATCCAGTAAACTACTAAGCCTGAGGAGATGAAAATGTAATGAAAACATTTTAAAAGATGAATAGGCCAGCCATAGCCAGCTCCAGCTTTTAGGATGTTCTATACCAGGGGTGTCAAACTCGATTTCATTGAGGGCTGCATCAAGATTGTGTTTGACCTCAGGGAGCCAGTGTGGGCATGGCCAGCATGACATCACTTGTGTCGGGGGCACCTGTGGTGGCCTGAGCACTCTGCCAGTGAAAGCAAGCTCCTGAGCTCCGTTTTTGGCTGCAGTGGCTTCTTCAACCCTCTGCCAGAGAAAACAGAACTCCATTTTCACAGGCAGAGGCACCGTGGGCCAGTCCTTTGCTGTTTCCAGAGCAGCCCAGCAGGCCAGATCTAAGCACCCTGCAGGCTGGATCTGGCCCCTGGCCCTTGAGTTTGACACTACAAAGAATCTTCCAATGGCCCTGACTTTTGCTGGAGTTCTCTGGAGGATTGGCTTAATTTTCTGCATCGTCCAGAGTAAAGTTAAGTTGGAAGCATTGTAAGAAATTCAAAATCGTCTGAGGTAAGTGTCTAAGAAAGTTGATCAGGAAATTAAAAAGGAAGGAAGTTAAGCATTGACCATGAGCCCCAGATGAGCATGCAGATATGTTTTATTTCAAAGATGTAAAATAATAAAATATAAACATTTATTTTTATTCCATAATCTTTTTTCATAACTGAACTGGCAATTGCTGTCAAAAATAATTCACGATCAATGAATATGTTAGAACAATTATAACTAGATATGACAACTTCTAAGATTAGTAAGTCTGAAAGAGTTAATGTCATATGATTTGGTGCCAAAACATTCCTTCCACATTCCTAAATATCACAGAGAAGTGTTCTCTTTGGAGAACCTGCAACCTGAAAGGCTACAGCCCAGAAATAAATTGGAAAGCTAGGCAAACAAGGGTTTTTATACATGGTACTACTTCCACTCCTAGTCCTTCCAACAAATTTTGATGGCAGCTTTGTCCTTTTCCCTCCACGAAACTTTGAAATGCAGGGAAAGGGATTTCATCAGTGCTTTCTCTAGTTGACCAGTAAATGGGTATTAAAAATCTTTACCCCCAAGTGCCGCAGGCCCTAAAGAAACAAAAATCTTCTTGTTCCTTCACTCATTGCAAAAGGAAATAAAATCATTTGCTATCCCTCTCCTATTTATGCTAGTGTGTGCCTATCTGCAAAAGAAAAAAAAAGAACAAACTCAACCCCAAACACTAAGCTATTGCTCTAAAAGTGCAGATGTAAAGCTGTGAATGTGGAGAATAAGATATTAGAATAACAAATTTCCTTTACCACTCACACTCCAGACAAAAAAGACGATTCAACCAATCTATTCCCCACCCCACTTCTGTGAGAAAGTCTGGTGCTTTGTAAAGTACCAAAGAGAAGAACAATGAGAATTCTGGTTCAGTTTTATTCCTGTTTGTTTTATATGGGCTATGAAGGTTATTGCTAGAGCTGAATATAGCAGCTAGATTCCTACCCAAACATTACTTAGAAAAAATATTATATACAAAGGTTAGAAATACACTTGTTATATATATGTAATCATTAGTAGTGATGAGGTTTAAACATTTACATAGTTGGAGACATAGATTATTTGAGGGCACATATCTCTTGGGTATCCCTCTTGATATACCTCTGCCCACCCAAATGCTAAGGTCTGCTGATAGGGTGTCTTTTAACAATATTCCATCAATTCTCATTGTTTGTGGATTCTAGATTTGTGAATTTACCTTGTGAATTTTCAAGTGTATTTGTAACCACAAAGTCAGTCCTCATGCTCATTCATAGATATGTAGAGCAATTTAAAAAATTGAGTTGCCTAATATACAGGTTTCCAGCTAAGATTTCAATATTGCTAATTCAGTGTTTGTGGATGGCTGCTGCTACATTCATGTGGAAAGCACCTACCAAGATGCTTCCAGATTGAAAGGATTAGCCAGTGACATCACTGTTGCCCAGGGGACACCCACAGGGGCTCTTGATGTGTCCCTATTATTGGCTTACTGAATGGTACCTATTTATCTACTTGCATTTGCATACTTTCAAACTGCTAGGTGGACAGGAGTTAAGACAAAATGATGGGAGCTCACTCTGTCATGCAGCTCATTGGGTTTTGAACTGCCGAGTTGTCGACCTCTCAATGATCTTCTAACTCAGGACTGACCTCTCAATGGTCTTCTGATTCAGCATCCTAACCACATGAGCCACTGTGTGCTCAGTGTAAAATAAAGTTGCTTATACATGGAAATGGGCTTTCATTCCCTAGAGGCTACTAACTAAAGTCCGGTTAACAAACTGTGCTTGTAATAACTCAGTTTCTACTCTTATTTTTAATCAGGTCATTTTACTTACTTTTTGTTGAATTGTTTATCTTGATTTTAATGAGTAGATAATAGATATAATGGATAGATAATAAAATTACAGAACTTTATAAATATTTAAATATATACATATTCTCCAAAGCTATGCAATTTCTTGTTCTACTATTTGGGATAATATTTATGATAAATTCAAAACATACTGTATAAAACATAATCAGTCCCTATTCACAATGACTGACATGCATATAATATAATCTAGATCAGGAGCATCAAACTCGTGTCATAAGGGGAGTGTCATGTGACATATTGCAACTTTTTTCCCCTTTGCTAAACTGGGCCTAGGTATGGCTGCAAGTTGGACACCCCGATCTAGATTATATTTCAAAATAACTGTATTGAAAAAAAGATCAGACTGTTTTTCTTACAATTATATTAAGGAGAAAAATGATAAAATTAATGTCTTACATAGCTTGCTCCTGACTCTCTCCACCAGGATAAGGATGAGCAACAACAGAAATGCCTGCAATAATAATGAAACACATTTAGGGATTTATTTTCATTATTGAATATAGGTGCTAGATCAACAACTGAAAGATTTAACAGTTTTATATTTCTGCCATTAATTAAGGTAAAAGACAACTAAAATGATCTATAGCTCAAATGCTGAGAGAAAGAATATTTGAGAATCTGGTTTAGAAAAAAAGACAAATGAGTGGAATCAAGATGTATAAAATCATCTTGATTGTGAAAGAGGGGAGGGGAATGTTTCCCCCCCCAAGTATCGAATGATCAGGGTTATCCAATTCAGTTAATTAGAGAAAGATTTAGAACAGAATAAAGAAAGTTATTCATATATTGTATAATTAATCGATGCAAAATGTTCCTCCTACCCTTTTGAGTCAAAGGGCATTCTTTTCTCAGTTTTGAGAGCTGAAGACGTCTGTTTTATGTTTATGCAGTGACTTTGTGTAGCTTGAGCACTATTGATTTCCATCTCATTAACCTGAGTGGTGGAGCAGCATTCCTCCAAACATCAGTTACAGTGGAAAGGTACGTCTCCATCTAAGCATATACTCATAATGCCACAATTATGTGCAAACTATTTCTGAATTTTATCTCTGCCTAATGAAAATTCACTGGCAATTTTACATAAATCAGTCTGAACTTCCAAAGGCATAGGTAAACGCAGTATTAAACATATGTATTTATTAATTTGTCAGATAAATGCCTCCAGATGTTGTGAATGCTTCATCACTGGGGGGTTTTAAGAAGAAATTGGACAATCATTTATCTGCAATGGTATAGGTATAGGCTTGCAGGAGGTGAGTTAGAACACCTCTGCGCCTGTACAAAGTGAGTGTGTGGTGTGCACGTGCACGCAAAGTGTGTGCATGTGAGCAAAGCGCGCCCACAAAGCCACGCCCACCAAACCGGTGGCAACAATATTTGAATTCCACCACTGGATCTAACCACCTCACAGACTGGATCTGTTCCGCGGGCCTTGAGCTTGACACCCCTGACCTAGAGAGTGGCGAACAGTTGGAAGAAGACCTGTCCTCTCTCATTCTAGAGTGTGGAGCATGATGGACTGAAGTTACAGAAAGGCAAATTCTGGTGGAATGTTAGAGTTACAGTAAGATCAAATATGTAAAAGCTCAGGAAGAAGTAAAAGTCCAGAGAGCAGTAGAGTTAAAATGAAAGCAATGTAAGCATCTCTCTGGGGTGCAAATCGTTTTAATATTTGTGCTTTTATTATAGCAATGTTTTGGCAGAATCTCATCTGCCATCCTCAAAACACAAGCCTGAGGATGGCAGATGAGATTCTGCCGAAACGTTGCTACAACTTTAAAAGGACAACTATAAT